TGTAATGATTGCAACATTTTTTTTATATATTTATATAATAGATAACGTGCTATGAATACTTAATGATAAACCGTTCTCCAAGCCTCGACTGATTAATGCCGTTGATGGCGTGCTTGACACATACCGAATCCTAAACACGATATTTCATATCCAGATCCATGTCAGTACACGTTTTTTTGTGTTTTTTTTTTCAAACGCACTATATCACAGAAGGTTAATATAAACACATATTATGAAGTAAGAATTCAGCAAAAAGCAGACTTTAGGTCCTCATTCAAGTCTAATTGCGTTACGACGCCTACCGGGATTTTACGTGTAACGGTCAGCGAGAGAAAAACGTGCGGAATGCGATGAACAATGAAATAACGCGCAGAAAACAAAGCAAACTTTTTCTATTTAGAGGGCGGTAGTCGTCGCGACACGCATGCGCGAGATATATGGGTCTCATATAAACAAAGATGGCGACTTTGACTGTTGCGCAGATCAACGAGTGCAAACTGAGACGTTACAAAGCTTTAATTAGGTATTTTTAGGTGATTGGAAGGTATCGGAGGAGTCACCGGCGGTAATTAGTGTAATTCGCGCCCAGGTCATATCTCATACTTGTGATTTCCATTAGAAGAGCGCATTGGATTGTGGGAAAATCAATGTTTATCAACACAAGTGTCGCACATGCGCAGCGCGACGACTGCCGCCCTATAAGCGAGGACATGATGGATCTGCAGCAAGACTGATTAGACGCATCAAGTCGATACTTGGAGAATAATAATAAATGAGACATTAACGAGTATGTTTATATAATGTCAACTCCTTAATACATCTGTATGAGTTGTGGTACTAGTTAATTTAAGACATTTCTAGAATCACAGTGAGTTACCGAAAACAGTGCCAATATGTACAACGTTCGAGACACTGTTGCTGACGTTTTTTGCATACAACTAAAGGCTGCCGGACCACTGATCGTTGGGTATATATTATATAATGTTACAAAGTCGCTAATGTGATGATTAATTAGCTACATTATTCTTTCTAACATAAAAAGTCAATCAATCAATGATACTGCTACAATCACGTGACATTAAACGAATTACAAATATAGTGGACGGCATAGACTTATATATACATATAATAAATATATTATATACAAATTTCAAATAAAATAGTTATATTTTCGTGTGGTTCATAATCTACAACCTATCTACATATGTTAAATATAAATGAATGGTACATTGTCCCCACATGCCGATTCCTAACTATATACTGTAAAATGATTAATATTCACTGGGTTTAAATTTCACTGATTTCCCATTTCAGGCATATTCAGTAGGTTTTAAATTCACGGTTTTATCATTTAGATAATGTGCTCTATGCTAAATTTTACATATTCACGGGGTTTTAATTTAGCGCATTTTCCAGTCAGCGAAATAAGCAAAATTAAAACCCAGTGAAAATTAAGCCTTTTACAGTATATATATATATATATATTTAGGTAACATATTCAACCCCAAACATGTCCCTAATGAAAGGACGGTACACGAATGATATATTTTCATTTGCTTTTTATACAAAACTAATACTTGATTGTGTTTCAGTGTCTTATGTTGTCTTATTTGCACCCAAAGTTACGTGATTATTCAGGAGGACACAAAATATAAATATTTTGATGTCAGTGCGTCCGCATTTTGAATGCAACAGTTGATTAATGGAGCAATGGATGTGATGACGGAAGAGAATGAAACAAAATCAAGTCCCGTGGTTTCTCTCCCATTCAATGAGATCTCGGCGGCCATTTGATATATTAATCCGTGACTTCAGTCATTTTTGTAGCATTGGATGATGTGCTCGATACACCACTCTCTGGTCTTACTACAGCAACTGCCTCCACGGGATTTGAGTAGCTCGAGGAACTGGCTTCGTTTTCAATGATGGTGGGATGGCGAGACTTCGAAGGGGTGACAGCCAATGGCATGGTATCAGCGTTGGACTAGTGAAAACAATATATAACAAAATTGGAAATGTAATAAAATACCCATAGGATAATTTCACATGTGTTCATAAAACAATCTTAATAGTTTCATGGGTCTTCTTATACTAAAGATACAAAAAACAATTGCAGTTCTAGGCAACATAAGCAATCTAGCAACAAATAATTACATATAATTGTATAAGGTTATTGCAACAGTACCACTAAGTATGCACGAATACAATACAGCGATGGTATCCATGGAGATGACCGTAATAACCTTATATCATTTTCCCGATAAAACCGATTGAGAACTGAACTGACTGTAGCTCAGAACTGAGTCATGGTGGAATTTATTGGAAAATTCTCGCTATGAACTTCTTATTCACAAAACATCCGCCATCTTGAAAATACTGTATAATCATTTCATATATGGAATTCACATTTCCTAATATGGAATTCACATTTCCTAATAAGGTAGGACGCAGATACCACGTGTAAAAGAAGAAAATTACCCACACATGCCTCCTGTGATTCTTCGAGATTGGTTACAACTAATCCAGCGCAGTGTTTGACTGACACTGTCACGGAAGTCATGGTAGTTGGCCGTCCTGTTATGGTGGTAGAATTGTACCTAGCTCTGCTGTCGGTTGTGCTTCTTTCCTGTGAACATGATGAAACAACGTGATATATGGGAAATATCGGCTGCCTCAAACAAATTACGGGCAGCAGTTTGGAAACAAAAAAACATTCCCTAAACGGAAGAGAGTGTTTTGTTTTTTTAAATTATTCCCATACCTTAGCATGTCACCGTACTATTACGTTCCCATGGCGACAATAGTACTACTTCCGGGTCATGTGCTGAACTAAACAACCAAACAATTGTAACTTTGTTGGAGATTCATAATATATATTTGTATTCGTTTAATATTACTATTATTATTCTCATTTACATGTCATTCCGTTATAGTAGCAATTCGTTTATCTCTTCGTATGAAGGATTCTTCTGATTATTTCACCATCTTACTCATTATTGTATACTTTTTCGCCCGCTCAATTTACTCATTTGTATTTCCCGCTTACATGTTTTCTCCCACGTTCGATAAGTACCTATAAAAAGTGCTAGTTACTATGACAATTGGTTAAGCAATAAACCATACCGTATTTTTGTATCTACATTTGACTGATGTTTATTCTGTCATCAAGAACTCCCAAAGTACTACTCTATCTCCCACAAACTTCAGTTAGATTGGGTAACATACCTTGGTACAGTCTGGACTTATTCCGACTGAGGGCGTACCAAAACTACTCTTGGTCAAGGCCCAATTTCTTTGTTTTCGTCTCAGCGCATTCCGTACTTCTGAGTTCAGCGCACAGTGGAAGATAAAGATGAATAACCCCTGTAAACAGATTGTCAGGTCATTAGAATTCAACGTACGAATAAACAGACCTTAGACGTGAATTGTCGCCGAGATCTCGTTGAGAGTTAGAGAGCCACGAGAAATATTTGTGACCCTCAAATAATGCCCAATTTTTTCTCATCACGTGATTATGAGAGATACGCCCACGGTCTATGGTATATTGAAGAGTGAACTACATATATCGACAAATCGTTTTTCACATTAGCGGAGTAGCAAAAACACAAGCATATTACCAATACATATTATAAAGCAGAGATATTTTTACACTTGTAACTGTGCATTCTTTCGTTGTAATTTATTATGATAACTTGTCTCAGTTAAGTTGAAAGAATTCCCAAAATTCCAATCATGCCCCAATATGTATGATGACACTTGCTCTTTTCTCTCTCAAGGATCATGACATTTAGACTGTTTATTGGAAATAGGAAGAATGCGCGCCATTTATTTATCTAAAATGATTGTGCATGCTATTGTTTTTCTAAACTCTCTTTGCAGAAGCGCTTCTTAGCAACCAAGCATCCACAGACGTTTCCCGTGGAGCACCGTGTGACGTTCTTTCGCAAGCACACGGGAAAAACTTCGCCAGAGCAAAGCGGCTTCGTCTAACTATAAAAAAGTGGGACAACTATCACGCGAATACTCCAACTATCCATT